CTTAACCAAAACAAGAACAAATATCCTAAGCGTATATCCTAAGCAAAGTCAACCGAAAAAATGTCAACTGTCTCTTTATTTAAATTTCTTTATGATCGAAGCGCAACTGTGATGTAAGAACTCGGTATCCGTTTGTAAATTGAGACTTTCATTCTGTAAAGTAATGTGCAGCATCTCAGAGACTAATCTTCTATTAAAAAATCTCTCTGTATCTAACACTTCGACTTTCTCCCAATCTATTTTATGACCTAGATGCAGCCTATGTTCAGTGATAACTGAATGTGGATTCTTATGATTGATATCATTTCTATGTTCAGAGATCCTAATTTTTAGCTGTCTCTTCGTTTGTCCGACATAAGCTGCATCGTAGTCTCTACAAGGTACTCTGTAGACAACGTTCTTCTTGTTCTTACATGGAAGAGATTCTTTATGTGTTCTAATTATGTTATTAAGTTTGTTAGTGCTAAAGAAAGCTGGTTTGGCCTCTGCGTTCTTCGCTATATTAATGAATTTCTCAGAAGTTTTTTGGATGTATGGTACTACGAACCAATTCTCTTTCGTCTCCTTTACAGTGGGTTCGAGCTTCTTCTGAGGTTTTTGCACAAATAAAGATCTTAATCGTTTACCGATCGTGTTCATAATAAAATTCAAAGGATAGTCATTTTTAAAAAAAGTCTCCACAATAAATTCCAAGTTCTTTACATGATATTTCGGATCGGAGAGAATGAAAGCTCTGTCCACCGCGCCCATTATTACCGCTCGTTTTTGTGACAACGGATATGACGACATGAAATTGAGGTATCTCCCAGAAAATGTTGGTTCGTGAAACCAATCGAATTCCAACTTATTGTTGTTCTTAATGATAGTAACATCCAGGAAATTTAGTTTATTACCTCCTATCTCCAAAGTAAATTTTAACTACGGATGTAATGAATTAAAGATGTTGAATATTTCATTTATATGTTCTGCGACCGCACTCACGAGCGTGGTGCAACTTCGTCGCTCGTCCGACCCGCGTAATTCCGCGAAAACGATAAAAGGAAATCTAATGCGCGATTAACCGTAACTCAGGCATCTCGCCTATCGAAAACGGGAACAAAAATTGGGCGCCAGGCACGTTATAGAGAGTGCCTCTCTACTGAAAAATCTCGTTGTCCGGAAATCTAATGACTCAAGAGAAAATTAGTTAATCACGCGATCAGGCGCGAATTCAATACAGCGGTCGGACAAGGACGGCGATAACCGGTTGCTCAGTTACGATAATGGTAAAGGGGGTGATTCGAAGGAAAACGGTCAAGGTTCGGGGGAGCGAGAATAGGCTGAAAGAAATGACAGTAATGATTAACAATAAAAATAACAAGTGTATTAAGCGGACGAATATTACATTCGAAAATACAAACGGAAATACGATAATCGACGGGAATACTTGAGACGCGCAACAATGCAGCGTACTCGACGTGACAGAGACTCGCAATTCGCGCGTTCCACGATCGTACGACAAGATTGTGTCTCGGAAAACGGAAAATTAAGAGCGGTTTCCCTTTCGGCGGTACGACTCGCAGATTACATGCCCATCCGCGTGACATGCGAAATCAGAAAGCATACAGTGCGGGCGTGATATTCGCGGGTACGCCGACGCGGAGCGCTCGGCGTACACGGGCAAGCGAGATCGACACAGCAAAATCGAAACTCGGGAACGAATATGTCCCGCGGGATCCCGTGATCCCGGAAACTCTCTCTAAATCTCGCAACCGTGGCGTAAAGCCTTCTCGGAAACGCGAATTATCACACACGCACGAGGACGGGAACGACACAATTACACGAACTGGCTTGGCTGTGGCGCTCGGCGGGCGCGTGGCGCGACGGTCCTGTAACAGAATATCTCGATATGCGAAGTCAGACAGGACGCCGGGATATACGGAATCTTTATCGCCGCTATAGCCGAGTCACAATACGAGAACGACAAGTATGAACGCGTGTTCCTCGCGACCCGTCTGACACAAGTATAAATCGGCGGCTTTACATAGGTGCGTTCGTCTCACCGAGAACTCCTCGTCTCGGGAACGGTAGCTCGTCTCGGCCGCAGCTGGATCCTCAGCGGACAATCTCTCACTCGTAAAATATCTATTTCGTCCTGCGTCCTTACGACTCGCTAACCACAGCACAAGTGCCGACTGCTGCTGCTTCCGTGATCTTGGTGGGCCGGTGGGCCCACGTGGTATATTCTTCCGCGCCCCTAATTGGCGGGCGTGCGAGCTCGCGACCTCCGCGAATCGCGCGAGGTGCGTAGCGCCGCGGGTCCCGCGTCCCTGCGCGCGGCATTTAAATTAGCGGCGGTGTCCTTCTCGTCGGCGGTACCACCAGGTGCGCTCCCATGTTGGCACGCTCAGGCGGCTCACCCTCAGGAACAAGATTCTATTGAGGGGCCGTCCCTGGCTGCCGGTCTTATCCTCCGGGGACGCCCTGTCGCGTTGCCGACTACGGGGTCTCTCGCCCAATCTGGGGGCGTAGAGTGGCCATCCCCTTCGTCCTCGCCTTAGCTGACTCGCACCGGAACCTGGAAGGAAGCTCGGCAGCTTAATTGCTCTCAAATTATGTAAAGGAACGCGGACTCAAATACGACCTGTACATGTTGCTTCTCCGTCCTTGTGGTCCTCTTCTCGTGGCTGTTGCGACGTCGGTGAGACGGGTAAAATTTTACAAAGTCTCCGGGAGCCGCCGATACGCTAGGTTAAATAATCGAGATCGCTACGGGAACTAAAAGAGTGATTACGAACGGTACTCGGTATTCGGGCGGCGGGAGCCACGCAAATGTAGTCCCGCGGCCCGCGCCACGCGTCCGCCTCCGAAAATCGGAAGGACGCAGGACTCGAAACTACTGCCCGCGGTCGGGTCCGTAGATCCCTTGTGACGGACGGTCCAAAAAGGGACGTCCCCGTCACAGTTCATTATGGACTGCCATGGCTATATCACGTATCTAAAATAAAAATACCTCAATTCCATATGTCAATAACGCTTTTTCTTCCAAATCACGCATTACGAAATCTGCAGCGGAAGACACCGGGGATCCCATGGGTGTACCAAATTTTTGTCGATAAATTTTGTTATCAAATTTGAAATAAGTGGAATTTAATATTAATTGTACACCCTTAATAAAATCTTTTTTTGGGATACTACATTTTTTCGAAATTAAATCCCACCTCTTGGAAATACTTTCAATGACCAGATCTAATGGTACATTAGTAAATAAGAATACCACATCAAGGGAAATCAGAGTGTAATTGTCATCTAATTTCATGCCCTTCAATTTCTCCACGAGTTCAAAACTATTATCTATTCTGCTAGGAGCCTTCGGGATGCTATCTTTAAGGATGTTGTGAACAAAGATAGCGAAAAAATATAACGAGCTGTCAATCGACGAGATGATTAATCTGAAAGGACAGCTCGGTTTGTGAATTTTCGGTAGGCCATAAGCCCTCGGTAATAACCCATCGCTGCAATAAACACGTTTGTATAATGATGTGATAAATTCACGCTTAACCCAGTCACTTAACAGTAATCTCGTAATCCGTTAGTCATTCTAGCAATTGGATTCCTCTTCACGATCTCATACGTATTCCTATCATTTAACATGTTCACGTGCATCTAGGTCATGAAATAGATTGGGAGAAAGTCGAAGTGTTAGATACAGAGAGATTTTTTAATAGAAGATTAGTCTCTGAAATGCTGCACATTACTTTACAGAATGAAAGTCTCAATTTACAAACGGATACCGAGTTCTTACATCACAGTTACGCTTCGATCATAAAGAAATTTAAATAAAGAGATGGTTGACATTTTTTCGTTTGACTTTGCTTAGGATATACGTATCTATTCTTGTTTTGGTTAAGGGTAATGACATCACGAATTTGTTTAAAACACGAACACTCTTAAGTTGGTTACGGCTGTGACAACACGCGACTCTCTGCGCATTTATTTTAAGGATTGTGAGTGCCAATTTTACATCGATTTTGACTTGTTTCGTAATGGTGAGTAGAGGGATCCGGAATAGTTCACATAAAGTTTTTTAAGTGCAATTCTCAATAAGGTCATTCTCACAGATAAATCTTCAAGTTTGGAACTGAAGGCCCATACATTGCGGAACATATTTCTGACAATTACGAACGGAATATTGGGAATTTGGTGGAACTTTATGTATTAATCGCTGAAGAAGATCTGAAGTGGACCGAAACGTACGACTTATGTAAGAAGATGTAATTTTAAGTTATAGAATACAACTTTATTTGAAACTTTAACGCAACGTTTTCTGCGTGTTGACTCTTAGTGCCTTTTGTCACCCATTATTATTTTATAAGAATGATCCACACAATTACTGAAAAGAAATATAACATATATCCCCTTTATAACTTTCAATATAATATTAAAATAAACATTTCTAGAATTTGCTTATATGTATATGACAGTATTGAAAGGCAAACTATTGCATGTTCAAATTTCAATATTTTCAATGATATCATTCTGATATGTCATACCTTTTTAATTTCTGCAGCCCTCATTACGCTATCTGTTGCATTGATTGTTTTTATTTTTTACGTATACATTGAAAATAATACAACATGGATTTTATTTGTTTGATTTGATACAATATTTTTTTCGAGGTATATTATTTTTTAT